TTACTAACCACTCTGGCAATTCTTAATACAGATCAAGAACAATGGTGGCTACCATCCTTTGGCATCAGAAGGATAAAACATGCTCAAGATTCTTAGCCTGTCCTTGTTAACTCATTATCCTTTAAGACGAATCTTTTCACCCTGTTGATGTGATAAAACACACTGACCAAAATGACTTAAGACTTTCCTCTGGCTCACAGTTCTAAGGTACAGTCAACCATGGCAGAGAAGTCAAGTTGACAGGGACTTTAAGCAGTTGGGGACACTGCATTGATCATCAAGAAGCAGAGCTCAGTAAATGCTTGCATGCAGTGCTCAGTTCAGGATCCCCTCCTCAGAGAATAGTGTCACACCACAATTGGGGAATAGTGCCACCCACAATCAGCAGGTCTCCCCATCTTTATTGACACAATGGGCAAAGGCTGGTCTCCAGGGTGATTCTAGATTCTGACCAGTTGACAACACTTTCTCAGAAAACCTGCTTCCTTCTTCTGACTTATACCACCCTCTTAGATTGAGTTGGATGTCCACCTCTCTATTCTATTATAGACTCCTTAAAACTTTCTTTGCAGTTTATGATTTATTCAAAACAATCTTTTTGTTTCTACCACCAGCTAAGAGTTACTTAACTGCAAGAACTATGCCTCAAATGTTGTGTTTCTAGAGCCTGTAATGGGCACAGGTCCACAATTTAACAAATAGTGAATAAATGAATCATGGTGAGTTATTTGAATTAACAGATGCAAATATAGACATATTCACAAAGATTGCTGTTATAACATTGTATTACAGAAATCTTCCAAGAAGAGGTGCTCCATTCTTCTTTATTTGGGGGGTAAGTAGGCTTAGAGTTACAGGAGGCAACTGCAATCTACAAATCTGAAGTGGATGTAAATCCTTCCGGATTCCATGTTTGAGAGGGCTCCTTTCCTCTGCTCATGCTTTCTTTCTCAGCCATGGAACTAAGGTCTTTTTGACCTGTACCAATCCCACCTTGCTGTCTTTCCCTATGGCTGGCATAGCCCCAGCAGCAGCAATGGAGAGAAACTGGCCAGGCTCACTGCCAAGCTCCTGGTGATATCATCTCTCCAGTGAGACACACTGGAACATTAATGTGTCTCTTATTTTCTAAGCACCCGTCCTTGAGACAGCTGATAGTAGTGACAGGAGGGTTACAGCAACCTGTAGAAAGTCTAGCAGAGGTGTAACCAGATGTCAAGCAGTCTCCAGGTGTTGAAGACTCCTCATGCTTTACAACTGCAAGTTCTTATTTTAGGACAGTATTTTCTCAGATTGCAAAGAGCTGGCTCATGGCCCAAGATTTTGGCTTTCTAAAATGCTTGATAAAGAACTTGAAGTGTATTTCATTCTTCCCACCCTTACACACCCACCCCACCTCCAACACACATGTACATGCACACACACACACACACACACACACACACACACACACACGCACACACACACATACCTGTTTACATAACAAAACTGAAAATGTAAGTACCAGATGGTGATTTTAAAAATAGACAAGATGAGCTTGATTTCAATATAATGATAATTTGCCTATGTCCGGTTTGCCCTTCACTACATCTATTCCTTTCCTGGGTTCTACTCCTGACTTAGCTGACAGGGACCTTTCTGGTTTCCTTTCTCAATTAACCCAGTGAGGAAACAGTAGTCCAGAAAGGCTAAGAGACTTATCTGGTAACTCATCCACTTAGATTCAGTGATTGAGATTTTTTTTGTCTTGTTTTGTTTTTATAAAAGGGTCAAAGACGGATGATTTTTTCCCCCTCAGGGTAAAAGTGGATCCTTAGAGTCTACTTGAGGGCATGATTATCCCTCTACCTTTAAAGACTGATAGGTTAGTCAGTTCACTGTTCCAGAACACACATGAAATAACTACACCCTTCTATATCTGAAAATATCAATGATTTCCATTAAAGGATAAGTCCCAAAGTTCCCCTACTCTTCACTAGGAAAACTATTATACACAAAAGAGCCAGGCATGTACTATCCAGACTTATTAAATGTATATTCTGTGTCCATAATCATTCTACAACAATCATATTCATTATTCTGAAGGTTTTTTATAATTGTGTATATTTGAGAAATATGAACAGGAAAAAGACTTAGGACCATATGAGGTAGTCTCTTTGGTGGTGATAACTTTCAAAATTTAGAATCACGGAGAGATAATTAGCTAAAGAGTTCTTAGTGGTGAGAAAATGGGATTCATCTTTTATTGTTTCCCAGCTGGCCCTCTGATATTGAACAATGTCTTCAGCCAAAGCTTTTTGTTACAGGTTTGCTGAAAGCAAAATAAATAATACTGTCATGTTTAATCTGACTTCATTAGATCCAAAAAGTCAAAGAGAGAGGCAAGCCGCTGGTATTGAGAGAGCCTAATCAGTATGTGCCCTGCAAGTCCTGGCTGCTCCTACTCAGCCCAAGGGTTGGCAAAGGAGGTTTAGAGCCTCTGGGTGCCTTCTCCAGGTAACTCACGCACTTCTCCCTCCGTGTAGAATAAGTAACCTTCTGGAATCCCCATGAAGCAAAACGCTAGGTGAGAGTGTGGCTAGTGAAAATTCTGCCCAGTAAACAGGGAATGTTTATGCTTCTTCCTTGCCTTCATTCAAAAGCTTTCCCATTATCCACTCCCCCACCCCACCCCCTGCCTCCTGGGTATTGTTTTAGAGCCCCATGTCTCCATGCATCCTATTCTTACTGTCTGCCTCTCTCTCCCAGATCCTTGTCTTTCTTCGCCCTCTGTCTGCTTCAGGCACATTTGTACCTGCAGCTGCTGCATGGCCGGCCGGCCCTCCCTGGGCAAGTGAGGAATGCTACTGTGGAATGTGAGAGTTCAAATTGTGCCCTTTGACTGTTGATGGTGAAGAGGAAGGGAGCCAGGTGTCAGGACCTTTGCACCTATATGGTGTCCAGGGCCTCTGGTTGGTCACAATGATTAGTAGTTTCGTGGCAGATCCCCTGGTTGAGGGATAAAGAAGATACAGTGTCCACATAACATTCCAGTCCTTTGAGGCACGACATACTTTCTTTCTGGAAAGGAGCAGCTGTCGAGCCTGCATTTACCTCACGGCATACATGTGGCAAGGATTCATAGTTCATAGCATTCTCTGGAGGGCTGTTTTGACAGTTAAGTGTCTGACTTGAGCCACAGCGTGGTGCCTAACAGAACAAGCATCCTAGATTGCCCAGAGACCCTTCCCACCTACAAGGGTGATTCTCTCTCACACACAGCAGTGGAGGAGCAGACCCTAGTAAGATGAAGATGAGGCTGAAGGACGTGGCTTTCTATTCTTGCAGGAGCAGTGCATTTGTGTTTCCTCTTAGGTCTATCCAGAGACTGCTCTCTCAAACCTATTATTTATTGGTCAGGCTGCTGGAGGCTGTTGCTCCTAACCATCCTCTAGCGGCCAGCCACCAGCATTACAGTCACAAAATGCTAAGCACTGCAAGGAGGAGGCCTCCAGAGGTCTTTAGGAAAAAGCCTCTGCTGCAGCCACGGGGTGCTTTGGTGTCAGGGTCTGGGCTGCCACAGAGTACTGAGTCGCAGAGCAAATCTCGGGGAGCAGGCAGTTGGCAGCAGATGTGAGAGCTTGTCTAGATAGTTTAGATTTTGGTGACTGAAAGCTTCTTGTCTGTGATTAGTCTCTCCTCTCTTCTCTTTCCCCCTCACCTAATACATGTCATGGTAGCCTTGCTTGCTTGTCCAGGGTGTGAGGGGGACTAACTAAGCAAGCTCTTAGCACAGCTTGGACCCCAACACCTGTGTGCTGAAACTGGTATGTCTGCTCACAGTTCGTGGTTTTGTGGGCTCGCTGTGCTCTGGCTGGGTGCAGCAGGCTTGCTCCCCTTTCACGAAGCGCTCTCTGACCCTTGGGTGTTCTTCAAGCGTTTCCTGTACTCTTGGGCGCCACATCTATCTAATATTCCTTCCTTTACCCGAGTCTCTTTTGTTCTTTCTCCAAGCTGGCTCTGAATTACAGGTGTAAATGTGTTACCTTCAAGCCATGCAGGTGCTACTTCCTCCTCCCCTCCTCCCCAGCCCCCAGCCTGGAGTGACTTTCCCTCCCACCTTCTCAAGCACTTTGCCCCCCTCTGATATTTCTGTGAGCGTCACCAGTCTCATCTCATTTTGCCTGCCCTGTTTCGTGTCTGTGGGCTGGAAATGAGCTACTCTTTTCTGTATCACGTTAGAATAAATGAAAAGGGTTCAGTTAGCATTACGTGGACTGACAAGAGTGCTCCTAATAACTGTTGCTCACGGCTCACTAAGGGTTGGCACTGGGCCAAGTGCTGTGGGCACTCCTTCTGGTACTGCCTTGCAATAGTCCTGAAGATGCCTGCAGGTTTACAGTGAAGGAATTCCTATTATCCCCAGGTGGGTCCTTCCCTCCCTCCCTCTACAAGTGCTGACAGCTCAGGCACCTTAGCTTAGATGCCTCTGTGCCACCAGCAACCAGCTGTTTCGGATTTCTGTGAGCTGGAGGGGAAGGGCGGGAGTTTTAAATGGAAGCTCCACAGGTGCAGGGATTTGTTTGTGGAAGACAAAGTAATTCCTGAGGGCCTGGAAGAGGCTGGGTTAGTGTCTCTAGAAACCAGGACCCATCTAGCTACACGCTGTCTCTGAGATCCTTCTGGCAGACTCTTCCATAATTAACTTCTGTTTTCCCTTTTTGGTATTTCTAACATTATTTATTTTTAGTTATAACATACTGGAGTACTAAAATACTTGAGTCAGGGTAAGAACAAATAAAACCTGGTTTTATTTGTGGTGATACAAATTCATTTAATTAAACAAATAAATATTAATTAAACACCGGTGATGTGCCAGGCACAGACTCATGTTAAGGAGATAGGAAATACATTCATATTCTATATTAGGGGCAAAGGAACAGATACAGTGTTCACAAAACATTCTGCTCTCTTGAGGCAAGACAATTCACAGAGGGATTTAGTGAAAACATTCTGAGTACCTTTGACATAGCATCTGGAACTTGAAGGAAATTCTGCAAATCCATGTCCTTCCTAGGTAAAGTCAGAATAGTGGCAGAGGCGGGATATCTAAGTGATCAAAGCAAAAACAAGTTAGAAAGCCCTTGGCGTGGAGACGCAGGCCCCAGCTGTTTTGGAGACAAGTCCTGGGGACTTGTACTGTCTCCTGCTCCAATTCTGCAGTTCTGCATAGCTCAGGCCATGTGGGCTCCCACATATGCTCTTAGGTCACTTTAGCTTCTCGCTTCTTCTTCTTTTTTTTTTTTAAGTAACCAATGACAGTCCTTGATGAGATACAAATAAATCAGGGGGAAAGATTACCCCTGGAAGCCAAAGTGCACAGAATGAACTGTAACTTAGGTTTCTTCTTCAAAGTGTCTGCATGGATGTGAAGTCTTTAACAATGACCAAGAACCCTTCCTTTGATACCTGGCTGGGTTTCCTGGACTTTATGCCCCTGCACACTCCAACAACTTACTTCTTTCTTCCAAACTATCTTTCATTGGAACATTCTTCCCAGTTATCAGTTGGCATGGAGATGTGACAGGGTAACACTAGTTGTCTCCACAGGATAACCTACTCTCCCACTGAAGTTCATTTAGTTGAAGTATTAGGGGCTGAAGCCCTGGTGTCGGGGTGGTGAGACACTGGGCATGCCCCTGCCATCTAAGGGATGGAAACAGGGAGTGCTGATCCTCTGCCAAGAACACCTCTCCTCTTTAGTGAGAAGGGATTCCATTGTTCATTGTTCGTGTGAAAGGAGTGTGGTTTACATAGAGTATTTATTGTTACACTTCTCATGCCACTTCCCTGGGTCCTAGGAAGCAGGGGAGGTGGCCGGGTGTGAATTCCTCCATAGGCTGCCTCTGATTTATTATCCCAAAAGTGACCAGGAAAGACATGAGGGTGAAGTCAGTCCTGCTTCAGCACACAATAATCACTCATTAGCAGGACCTCTGTGTACTGAGCAGCTTTGGACAGTGGGTGTAGTTTCAGCACAGTCCAGCCAAGGTGGGGGAGTGCTTCTGAGAGGAAGTGGCTCTGTACAGGCACTTCCCCACCACTTCCTGGAGGTCTTACAGGTCTCCCTTCCCCATCACTTCCTGGGGGTCTTATAGGCCTCACCTGCATCTTTATAGCTGTGTTTCCACAGCTTGTTTGAACTTGGGATGTCCTGAGACATTTTTCACTAAACATTCCTTTACCTTCTATAGACCATTCTAATAGATCTGCTAGTCTAAGGGCATGTAATACTTTGAGGGTTTTGAACTGTCCCCTAAGGGCTTAGGAAAGTTACTGCCAAACCAACATGCTGGCATCTGAAACTCTGGACAAATGAAGAGTTTCTGTCCTTATAAACGGCTAGACATCAATTATCCTCTTTCTGTTTCCAATAAGACTTGTTCTTGCCCTGTCCTCTGAGAGCTGAGGGTACTTCACAGGTCCTGCCCAATCATAGTGTGGTGAGGTAAGTAGGCTCATTTCTCTAAGCAGGGATTGAGATTGCCTCCTCAGTCTTAGAGGATTTCACTTATTGAGAAGAATTTCACTTACTACCATATGGAACTTCTCGTCACTAGCCTAAATGTGGCCAGCAGAGGGAGGAAATGATAGCATCCCTTTTCAGCTGCTGCTGACAGATACCCAGTCTTAACTCTGAAAGAACAGATACCATGACTGTTCAGCTGGGTGCTAAGCCTGCCTCTCTCGAGCCTGGCTCTGTTCTCTACCTTTTTACCAAAAGGCTTGTACAGGGGAGTTGGAGGCAAGATGAACACAATCTGGGTTCAGGGGCACATCATCTAGTGGGCAGAGAGTACTATGGGATAGTGGGGGTTGGCTTATTAGATGTCAAGTGCTAGCAATTGAAAATTTCAAGATTTTAGGAAACCCAGCATATTTGGCTCCCAGACTCACACATCTGAGACAACACTGACTTGGGTTGAGGGCAAGATGTCACCTTTGATCAGTTTTCCCATTCCTTGCCATCTCCATCTGACCAGCCTTATCAGTGTGGCATCCATTTAACTGTCATCAGCATGTGGACTTATGACATAAGCACAATTAAAAAAGATGTTAGCTTGTCATGACTCAGGATGATTCTTGAGGTATTGTCAACTCTTAATAGGTGTATTACTTTGTTGCTTCTGAAGCAAACCTTTGACTTTATTGAACCCCTGATTGCTCATGCCAGATAAACACACACACACACACACACACACACACACACACACACACACCTGACCAAATGAATGTTTGCTTTGAAAATACACAAACCCATCTATCAGCTTGTGGAAAATTGTTTTAAAGTGCAGACAAAGCAAAAATGTAATAGGGGTTCCCTTCATGGAGTCATCTGCTTACAGATGTAGGAATGCATGACCATTATCCACAGGCAAGGAAACTCTTGGAAAGTGTGCTTTTTCTAACAACCCTTTCCAGTCTATGACAAGCCTATGAAGTTGTCTTTGGACCTTCCTTGCTTATCTCAATTCCCTACTCCCCTCTCTCCATCAACTCACAACCTATCTCCCCCGCCACCAGAGCATTGACTTATCACCACACCTAGGGACAATTTAATTACTAAATGGGGGTAGGGGGGTAATGAGGAACCTAAGTATTTTAAGTGGAAACTGAAATCCCTCTACATACAAATTCTCAAGTTTCAAAAACAGAAATGTGTTCTTTATTGGCTCTGGGGTGGCGGCAATGAAACTAGAGAAGGTCCCAAGTGAAAAACAGCAGCTACTACTCTATTAAAACTAGTTACCACGGTTCTAGACTTCTGATAGTTGAAATTTGAAGACTGGAAACTAAAGCAGGGGAGGGAAAGATATGGAATGGTTTTGAGAGCTAGTATCTAGGGTTGGATAGTGGAGGCAGAAAGGAATGTTATGCGGGCCTCATCTCCTCTGGCAAGGCCTTCATGCAGCATAACCTTTGTCTGAGAATGCCAGGGCATTTCTGAGTTTTGTGCACTTGACCAGGTTTTTCCACCCACCACACCCACCTCTCCCCCTTGAGATCTCTCTCAAACGCTTTGTCCTCAGAAGCTGGGGGATTACCTTCCAGGGAGGCTGAGTACCAAGGGCTTGTTTACCAGGCTGGCCTCACTAAGCCAAGGAACCTTGTCAAATTTTGGAACAAAAGCCTAAAGAGAAAGGGAAAGAGATAGTTTTGCATAAGTTATCACACTTATGAAAAATGAAAATAAATGTTAAAATGGGTCACAGGACTGGAGAGATGGCTCAGTGTTAAAAGCACTTTCTTCTCTTTGAGAAAATCCAGGTTCAGTTGATAACACGCACTATCCATTCACAGCTACCTGTTAACTATAGTTGCAGGGGACTTAGCACCCCCTCTTATGGCCCCCACAGGTACCTGCTTTCAGGAGCACATACTTACATATGGACACATGTGTAGATAAAATTTAAAATGAAACATTAAAACAGAGTTAAACACTTGACTAGTGCTAGTTCTGTGATAACCAAAGTAAGTTATTAGCTATCACATAGCAATCACCTCTACAAAAATTTGTACATGTGAGTCTTTCAACCGTCCCATAAAGTGGCCAAGAACAAATACGTGCCTCCTCTGGTTTTTAAACGAAGAGTTCAAAGTGACGACAGTGTAAGTTCTTCTAAGCGACACTGCTAATAAATGGGTTCATGCTTTCTGACTTTTGTGTCCACTATATCCCATATTCTACATATTTTCAGTTCTTTGTACTTAACGTCTATTTCTAAATTCTGTAATATTTCCATGAGCTCAGCTGAAAACCAGCCATCTCTTGTCCCAATCCTCTAGCCATGTTTTCAGACCCAAGGGCCTCCACCCTCCTCACTCTCTTTGGGTGGCAAACTCTGGGAAAGAATCGAGTTGTAGAGCCATCCACATTTGGACATTTGATCTAGTTGCAATCAGTATACAGCTGCCTGACTTTGGACAAATATAAACTTGTGATCACATCGTCTCTGTGGAAGCCAATGCCCAGAAAGCGCCATGAGATCTATACAGTTGTTTTTGTTTCCTCTGTGTAGTTAATGCAGCACTAGAAGCCTGGGTTGGCACCTCTGAAGGCTGGAACGCAAGAGAAGTCCCTTAGCTGAGGGCCTGACAATAACATAAGCTCAACATCTGCAGCTGCTACCACTCTTCCACCAGCTCAGAATCTATTCCTGCCTTCTCCTCCCTTTGAACCCTGGAGGAGCTTCCTTTTCTTCCAGGAGCAGAGATCGCACTTTGAGCCGATCTCCGGGAGAGAAGCAGCCAGTAGAGGGCAGCAGCGACCTCGCGGTGTGCTGTCTCCGTGAGCGCCGCTTTGGCGGCGGAGTGGTGCAGAGCCGGAAGTGCTCCTTCACAGCGGTACCCTCCAACCCCGCGCCCCGGATGTAGAAATCGCTGGGCGGCTGCCCTTCTCAGTCGTGCACCCCTAAGAGCTCGGTGCAGGTGGGTTCCGGCATCCTTCCTGTCTGGCTGGTACCGCTGAGCTAAGGCTGGGTGGGAGACAGGCGGCGGCGGCGGGCGGGGCAGGCCGGCTGGGTGAGTGACAGCACAAGACCGGACCCTTCCCTGTCCGCTGACGCGGACCTTTCAAATCCAGAGGTCCCTGTGCGTGAGGGTAGACTCTAGGGTGTCTGCCAGCCTATCCTGGCCTCCGTAGAATAAAGAAAGGTCCAGCGGGGAGTTTTTTTCCTCCTCAGTTTTACTTAATGACCTTCGTGTTTCTGACTCTGAGTTTTCCCTTCTGAAAATGGAATGGTTATCTATCCCGCACTGGAGTTTTGCTGTTTCATTTAATTAGAATGATAAATCACTGTAGAGGGTGGTAAGCTTAGTTAATGAACAAAGAAGGCTTGAGTTCTTGGTTTGGGCTAAAACTGTAGCTATCACGCCCTTCTGTATTGTGCAGATTATTGTTGTCATGAGATCTAGAACTTAATTCGATGCCTTTGGGAACCTTGTAACAGCTATGGATTGTGTTCCTATATTTGCGTATGTTGCAAATACAAACATGCAAAAATAGTACATACCTTAGGTGTGAGAACGCCAAAGTTGACTGGCTTTAAGGAAGATAATGAGAAGCACAAACTTTGATACTAGATTTTGTTGGAGTTCTGGCTCCATTGTTACCCTGGGACATAAATACCCAACCAGTGTGAAACTCAATTGTCTTACTAGGTAAAGTGGGACAGGTACTAACTTGTAATGTTGTGTAAGATATTTAGCATTCTGAGTCAGTGATGTCATGCAGATATGAATTGTTAATATTATATTTTAAATGTCTCAAATTATGTCACTTCGCACAATTGATTTAGGCTTTCATTAAACTGAGTTGTTTTGTATTATAACATAGTCCTACCATGACCTTTTCGAGCTTTCATATATTCACAGATCTCTCTTTTTCTAAGAATTTAGCTGTGTTGTCCTGCCTCACAGAACACCTCATCTGCTGCAGGCCTAGCTAGCCTGGGTTGCAGCCTTTGTAAACAAGGAAACATCTGGAAGGTATCAACATGGCATTTCCATAGAGGTCCTAATTTGTAACTGTATCAAGAAGGAGAATTGTGTGGACTTCTCTGAGGGAGATCCGACCAGCCTGGATTTAAGGGAAGGATGAGATAATGTGTGCTCAACACCTAACGGACACCACAGAAGTCAAGTGGCAGAAGGTTTTATATGAACGGCAGCCCTTCCCCGATAATTATGTTGATCAAAGATTCCTGGAAGAACTCCGGAAAAACATCTATGCCCGGAAATACCAATACTGGGCTGTGGTATTTGAGTCCAGTGTGGTGGTGCAGCAGCTCTGTAGTGTCTGTGTTTTTGTAGTGATCTGGTGGTACATGGATGAGGGTCTTCTGGCCCCCCAGTGGCTTTTTGGGACTGGACTGGCATCTTCATTGATTGGGTATGTTTTATTTGATCTCATCGATGGAGGTGATGGACGGAAGAAGAGTGGGCGGACCCGATGGGCTGACCTGAAGAGTACTCTGGTCTTCATTACATTCACTTATGGTTTTTCACCAGTGCTAAAGACCCTGACAGAGTCTGTCAGTACTGACACCATCTACGCCATGTCAGTTTTTATGCTGTTAGGCCATCTCATCTTCTTTGATTATGGTGCCAATGCCGCAATTGTATCCAGCACACTGTCCTTGAACATGGCCATCTTTGCTTCTGTTTGCCTGGCCTCTCGTCTCCCCCGGTCACTGCATGCCTTCATTATGGTGACATTTGCCATCCAGATTTTTGCACTGTGGCCCATGTTACAGAAGAAACTGAAGGCATATACCCCCCGAAGTTATGTAGGGGTCACTCTGCTTTTTGCATTTTCAGCTTTTGGGGGTCTTTTGTCCATTAGTGGTGTGGGAGCCATACTCTTTGCCCTTCTGCTGATTTCCATTTCGTGTCTCTGCCCTTACTACCTCATTCGTCTGCAGCTTTTTAAGGAAAATATTCATGGGCCTTGGGATGAAGCTGAAATTAAAGAAGACTTGTCTAGGTTCCTTAGCTAAACTAGGGACCTTCATTCCATTATTACAGCAAGCCAAAAGACCTCGAACCTAACCAGTATAACACTTAAGGGCAGCGGGCTGATCTGGATGGTAGAACAGAGAGCAGAAGGAAACGTTTAACCAAGGGCTTAGGGGAAGATGTTTGTCCTTCAGTTATTTTATGACTGAAAAAGCTTTCTGGTGCTGTCTTGAATTATTGTCCCTCTTTATTCCTTGTAACAAATTATATAATGTGGGCTCTGCTTATTAAAAAAAAGTAATACCCATTGAATTGTCTCATATTTTAAAAACATACCCTTTTTATATGCATGAGAGGGGGGGAGAGAGAGAGGAGAGAGAGAGAGAGTTGGTTCTCTTTCCAGTATGCATGTCCCAGGCATTCAATCCATGCCTTGGGAACAATGCCTTTACCAGCTAAGCCACCATACTGGCCCTGTCTCATAGTTTTTCTGACAAAAGTGGTATGAGGAGTAGTAGGTGTGTGTAATCAGTTGTCTAGCCTTTTCTGTGTACTGAGGGACACCTCTATATATTTAGAGCCCAAATTTGAGAATTCAAGAAAGTAGTATCCAGCTTGTTGTCCAATACCACAGAACCATTTTAGTTTTTAGTGGATTGTATGTATAGCCAATAGAGGAGAGTTATTCGTCATAGAAAGAAAATGTTAGAGACAGTGAAAGACGCTGGAGAGAGTGAGTTTATCTGAAGCAATTAGGCTAGTGGATGTGGCAATTAGGCAACAAGAGGTGACATTTACTCTCGGAGGACAGCTGGCAAGAGAGCCCTTGAGAGCCAGATAAGTGATGTTAGCCAGTGAGGGCAGTTGCTACTGTCGAAAAAACGATTGTTTCTGCTCAGTTTGGGCTTCATACCTGCAGAATTTCCAAGAAAAATGAATATTACAGTAGCTGTGAATCTGATCTGTAATATGAAATATGCTTTGTAAGCTGTGTCAAATTTAATCCAGGTTACAAGAACATTTGCAGGCAAAACGTGACTACATTTGATGCCACATCCACTAGCCAAGGCGCAAAGATGGGGCCAGGATAGAGATTTAGAGTTACGAGATCTGGGGGAGGAAAGAAAGTCAGTGGAGCCTGAGTAAAGGTTCAGCTCTATTGATACAGTCCCATGGGCTCCGTATCCCGTGGTGGGCAATCCATCTTGTCTAAAGATGGGCTAAATTGAAGTCTTGAGTCAGCTAATTGTTCAGTTCTCAGTTTGCATCTTTAAGAATTGTGGCAATTAGATAAGCTGTGTGTGAAGTGTCTTGAAGAATGCCTAAGGATGCACAGTATTAGTGCCGAATATCTCAAATGCAGAATTCTGAAACCGAAAATGCTCCCAAATCTGAAAGGTTTTGAACATCAGTGTTACGCCTTGTGGAAATTCCACATTCTATACATTCTACATTCTACACGAAACCTTCATGTTTAAAATTATTTAAGAAATATAAAATTGCCTTCATACTGTGAATAAGGTGTATATAAAACAAGTGAATTTTGTATTTGAATGAGTTCCATTCTCAAGCTATCATTTTATGTAAAAAAAATTTAAAATCTGAGGAAAGTAAAGTTCCAAAATTTTCTGGTCCTAAGTATATTGGATCAGGGACACCAAGTGTGTCATAATATGTTGGAATGTAGGAAAATTTGAAGAGGTCACTGGCACAAAATGAATGAGGTACTTCCCAGAGTGGCTGCTTCCAGCTGTGAAGGTACATGTATGTTCTGTCCTCTGGTTATTGTAAGTCATTTTAAGTTAGAAATAACAAGAGAGTAGTATACTGTGAAGTAATGTTTTTTTATTTTTCTGACTTTTCATAAATGTCTTGAATAGGATTTTGAACTAATGTTTGCAGCTACCATCTTATCCCTTTTCTGATGTTTACTGTGATAGATGAACATTGCCTCATGATAAAGAGTAGGTTATTGTCCTCTAAGACCACTTATACTGTTTTTCCAAACCCAGGGGCCCTTGGTGACGGGGACAAAAGGATGTAGAAACTGCCCCATGGAACCAAAAAGCATCCATGCACTGTGATGGATTGCACATTTTGTGCCTTGAAAGTGGCACAAATTATTCTATAGTGCACATCAATGGATGGCAGATGGATGTAGCAAAGAATTGTAAAAATCATGTTTTAATACCTTGACTTTTCTGAATAGGTTTCCAATTGTCAACCTTGGAAACCCATGGCCCCATGGCAGTGAACAGAATACTTTAAAAGATTGAACCGCTTTTAAGAATAGTGGGGTGAATGAATGTGACTGCTGTTGTTTTCAGCTGTTTTTTGTTTTTTTTTTTTTTTTTTTTTTTTTTTTTTTGTGTGTGTCTTTTCTTTGGAGTCATCCAGTACTCAAATGTTACTCATATTTGTGGTCCTAGGTCAGTGTGGAGGTGATGGGGGATGGGGAGTTGTGAGATGCACTTGAATTTGAGGGGGGAGGTGCAGCACGGACTAGATACTAATGAAGCTGTAGGGAGAAGGGTACCTGTGGTAGTTTGAATGTAATTGGTCTCCATAATCTCATAGGGAGTGGCACTATTAGGAGGTATGGCTTTGTTGGAGGGGATATGACATAGTTGGAAGAAGTGTGTCACAGAGAGGACAGGCTTTGGGGTTTCCTATGCTCAGGATACCACCCAGTGTCTCAGTCAACTTCCTGTTGCCTGCAAGATGTAGGACTCTGAGCTACTCCTCCAGCACCATGTCTGCCTTCATGTTGCTATGCTCTCTGCCATGATGGCAATGGACTGAACCTCTGAAACTGTAAGCAAGCTCCCTCAATTAAATGTTTTCCTTATAAGAGTTGCCCTGGTCATGGTGTCTCTTCACAGCAATAGAAACCCCAACTAAGACCACAAGCAGAATCCAAAGTGGGTAGCATTATGTGTTCCAAAGGGACCTAATGCATCCTGGTAGAAGCACAGAACAAAATGGATTATAATTGACAGGGAGCTGAGAACATTGTATTATTACAGTATCCTGTAATCAGTGGGAAACTCAAGAACCTTCAAAAGAGATACACTAAGATACTATATGGAAGTATTAGGAAACCTTATATATAAGTGAAGTCTAAAGACTGGCAATAGTTTTGAGACTGAACTAGTGAAGCTGAGCATGGAGAGTGCTTGTGGAAATATGGAGAAAAGAGAGGATCTGGATGGAGAGTGTGGCAATGGGAATGGAAATAAGTGTATTTAGTGATTTTTAGGGAATTTGCTAACTTCATGTGGAGAGAGAGGAAGAGGAGGTAGGAAGACAGGGTAAGTGCAGGAGTGAATTTGTGTATCTGTTAACTCTGTCATGAACTAACCAGTGAGCACAGGCCATGGAGCAGATAATAATGGGATAAGTTACTTTTGGGGTTCTTGAGATGCTATATCCAGGTGGAGGATGAGCTCCATATAATGCACCCAGAGTGTACTGGCTCAAAATTCTAAGCATAATTTACATGGATACCAAGACAAATAGAACAGCATGCTTTTTGTTTTGGAAGTGTTGTTTTTACAATCTAGTTGCCCCACAAGTGGGCAATTGTGGAATTCAAAACAGGTGGTAGAATGACAAATTGAATAAGCCAAATGAGAGATCAAAGGGACACGAGGGAGCCTTTTGAAAAATGGATTAGACACTAGAACTCAGCCCAGGAGGAAAACTCAAAGTGACCACGGCCTATAACATTACTCAGGGTAGGGCTATGTAGTTCATTAGTAGAGAAATTACCA